GTGAGGGAGTCCCTTTTATAGAATAAGGGCTCGCTCCTCAATACATAAGTGATGAGTTAAGTCCCCCGAGTATTTTTCATGAGGCCCAATATATGGTACATAATGTAGTCCTCCAAGTCTTCGGTCAATAGAGTATGTTGGCTGGAGACTTCAAATTGAATCCATGATAGGCCGAAGTGGCGGTTATTCGGAGATGGTATTTGTATACTCTACACTGAAGCTTTGTAGGTGAAGCTTTTGCAAGTGAAGCTTTGAAGCTAGAGCTTTTGTTAATGAAGCTTTTGAAGCTGGAGCTCTCGTAAATGAAGCTTTTGAAGCTAGAGCTCTGTAAATTAAGCTTTTGAAGCTAGAGCTCTGTAAATGAAGCTTTTTGAAGCTAGAGCTTTTATAAATGAAGCTTTTGAAGCTAGAGCTTTTGTAAATGAAGCTTTTAAAGCTAGAGCTCTGTAAATGAAGCTTTTGAAGCTGGAGCTCTCGTAAATGAAGTTTTTGAAGCTAGAGCTCTTTAAATGAAGCTTTTGAAGCTAAAGCTCTGTAAATGAAGCTTTTGAAGCTGGAGCTCTTGTAAATGAAGCTTTTGAAGCTAGAGCTCTGTAAATGAAGCTTTTTGAAGATAGAGCTTTTGTAAATGAAGCTTTTAAAGCCGATTGACATGAGTGATGCTTATGAATGTTTATGTTGATTGATATGAGTGATGCTCGTGGATGTTGACATGAGTGATGCTCATGAATGTTGACATGGGTGATGCTCATGAATGTTTATGTATGATTGATATAAGTAATGCTCATGAATATTTATGTATGATTGACATGAGTAATTCTCATGTATAATTTGAAGTACTGGGCGTACTTTTGATCACCTGGTTGGCGATAATAGCGGCGGGGTGCCAAATAATTTTTTGTAGTACTGGGTGTACTTTTGGTTGCCTGGTTGGTGCTATTTTGGGCTTATGGGCCTTCGCTCTCCACACAACATTCCAGCCCATTTATTTTGGGCTTTGGGTTTTTTTTAATTACCCTCTGATGGGGTTTATACAGATGTCTCCGAAAGATAAGAAAACTAAATCACATCATACAAAAATAAGAAAAGCAATTCACATCATTCTGGTGGGGTGTTTATTCCTTGCTTTTGCTTTCTCTTTTCTTTTCTGCTTTGCTTTTGCTTTTGTTTCTCTTTCCCACTGCGTTTCTTTGCTCAAGTAGACATATCTTCTGGGCCTTCAGAAAGTGATTTCACATGGCTACCACCCTGTAAAGAAGATGCTCCTTGAAGCAGGAAAGCAAGAATGGTGAAGCTGGTCAGCTTGGTTATGGATCCAACGGCTGAGAAGCACAAAGATGCTCCTTTATTTGTATCCTGCTTTATCGGGGTGTGTGGTTGCTCTGCTTGTGCGTAGATCGAGCTGACATTCAACATACATTACTGTCATGGCCCAACTCAGACATTGCAAAGCAACCCTTGATTGCATAGTTCTCAGTGTCATTCAGCCACTTGTCGTGATGGCGCTTTGTGCCGAAAAGCAAAATGGCACTACCCCACAAAAAGAAATGGACACCAAGCTTGACAGCAAGTGAATGATCAAAAATCCTGATAACCTCGAAAAAAGCAAACTTTCGCAACTCAGCATCGACCCCTTTATCCGTAAGCCAGCCTTTGAAAATCCCACGATCTAGCAAGTAGGCAATTCTCTTTATGGTTATTTGCCGCTGCTGCTCCATGCTTTTTCTTCGAGTCCAAAACCCAGGTTTGAATTGGGTTATTCTGAACCGGTTTATTGGGTACCAGATTCTTGAACTAATTGCCGAACCAAGAGACGTCAAATTCGAAGAGGTCAAATCACTAACCAATCTGCTCGCCTCTACAACCTCCTGATTCGAAAGCATAGATGTCACATAGCCAGGCATAAGGGCATTCTCAGAAATGTAAGTGTTCTTGACGAGAATCGGAAGCAGCGAGAGAGCCACCATCCCGACGGTGGAGAAACGATACTGAAGAAGAAACTGTGGTCCCACTCTTGCCTCGACCCGACTCATGAACTCAATAACCTTTCTTCTTCGTCGAGCTTCTTGTTGATGATCCCAACAGTGAAGTAAATGCTATCAGACGGCGGTAAATCGATACTGATCTCGTCGGTGTCGAACCAGAACAAGAACCTCTGGACCTGAATCCCCTTTAAGTTGATGATCGCCCCGTATGTGAGCTTGCCCGTTATGGTCTTTTCATAGTAGACCAAGTAATTGAACTGAATGTAGCAGGTCTTGGGCAAAATGACGAAATCGGCCGTCGTCAGAGAGCGTGTAGTTGGAGACCGACGACGATAAGAGACAGCAGGGGAGGCCGTATTCGGGTAAAATGTCGAAGACTGTGGGTGCGGAGTTAGAGAGAGAAAGAGAGAGACTTGGTAGGACAGAGAGAGAGAAGATGAGGATCAGGATTAGACCCAAATGGGAAGCCATATTCGGGTCGGGTGTTAGAGAAAAAACGTGGGTTTTGATAAAGTTTGGTGCTTTTTCATTTTGATGGGGAGGTGGCCAGGTTTCCATGGTGAAAATGGAAGCGGGGACAATGGAATTTTTGCCGCCGGAGGCACCGAGGGCAATGCGCTCACCAGGCTTAAATAACTGGTTTTCGACGATGACCTAATGAATCTCCTCCCCAAACACCTTGTAGAAACACTCCTTGCAAATCTGCTCTAGGGTTTTGGGTCTCTTAAGGGTGGCCCGTCTCTCATGACAGATGCAGCACTGGCGGCCCCCCGCCTTCTTCTGCTTGCCGTCGGCTGACGACTCCATTGAATGTGACGACACTCGGTCGAAGCTCAGGATCTGCGAACCAATAACGCATGTTCCTAGTTATAGCATTTGTTCGGCTCTCCTCTTCTTCCTTACTTTCAAGACACACGCACAATTTTGGGACATTCGTTTTCTGTGATTGAAATATACAGAGTAGATTGTACCCAAAATAAAAGAAGGTAGACACGGAGTAGGTTTCTTTTTTGTTTCTGGGTTTTTGTGATTTTGCAGATTCAAGGTGGAGGTGAAAAAATGAAAGAGAACCAACACAACTTTTCGTATCGATTCCCACAGACGGCGCCAAATGTTGATGCATAAAACCGGATGTCTTGGAACAACGTAAATCCAACCGTGAATCTGCAAGAAATGTAAATAACACAAGATGTATCGTGGTTCACCCCAATGTTTGGGCTACGTCCACACTGATATTGTATTTATATGAGAGGTGAGGGAGAGAACCTCTGTAATGTGAGAGGGGATGTGAGGAGGCTTCTGAGGGTGAGAGGGGATGTGAGGAGGCTTCTGAGGGTGAGAGGGCCTAGGAATTGGCCTCCCTCAATTGTGAGGGTGAGGAGTCTTTTTATAGAATAAGGGCTCCTCACTTATTACATATTTGCCCCTTCCTTTATTACATAATTACATTTAAGTCCCCAAGTATTTGTACGAGATCCAAATACGGAGGCCCTAAGTATGGTATAAACATCTTTAATTTATTTTTAATGCATGGATCTCATAATTACAACCAAATGTCTTTAATTTATTTTATGCTCACCACCATAAACTATGGTGTATGCTCACCATACACCTAATCAATTGACACGTGTCATTTCATTTAATCTTGGTTAATTTTTTTCAAAATTGAAAAACTAACATTTAATGTGAAAGTTAACTAGAGTTAAGTGAAATGACACATGTTAATTGATTAGGTGTATGGTGAGCATACATCATAGTTTATGGTGGTGAGCAAAAATGCTCCTATTTTTTAATAGTTAATGTAGAGATGAGGCCCAATATATTTAATAAAATAAATATTTGACATCTATAGAAATTAAGAAGATTTTACATCTATATTCAATTGACCACATCTATTATCAAATAAAAATTTAACGTCTCTTTTGAGGATGCTTTTAGACACTAGATCTCAACCCATTGCCCAACTACTGCCCATCAATTTTTAGAACATAATTGTAAACAAATAATAGTTCTTATTAACAATTATCCTTTTAATATGTTGGTACTGTCGTCGTTCTAAGTAAACTAGTGGAACCGATTAGCAATGAAGAAAAAGGACAGGACTACTGGTGAAAAATTATCCAATATTAGACTAGAGAAAGACAGTTGAAAAATGAGAGAGAGAGAGAGAGAGAGAGAGAGAGAGAGAGAGAGAGAGAGAGAGAGAGAGGAATGTGATCAGTCAATCTTTGTTTTAACCACTATATCATTTGAAAGATTGTCCAAATGCACAACATGGTTCAGAAGGCAGAGGAGCCCCATCAGTGGAAATCAAATATTAAATGATACATCAAAAGAATGGGGTAGGATTCTCTCCCTTTATTTTTTTTTTCCTCTCATTTTCTTCTTTTCTATTTGAACAGTTACAATTAAGTTACGTAAACATCTTATATCATTTTTTTTTATAAAAAGAGAGACAAAATGGTAAGTGTGAAAAGAGGGGAGGGGAATAGAAGGGGAGAGAAGGGAAGGGTAGGAGGGGAGAGAATCCCACTCCTAAAAGAACATGCAGAAAGGAAGAAACCCAGAATGGTATGTTAAGAAATAAAGGGGACAATATTAAGATTTACATTAAAAAATATTACACAATACCAAAGAGAAATTTATATAAAATTCAATGCAAAATATTCAATGCTTTCAATTCTGGATAGATATTCGGGATTTTAAAGGGAATAACATAAGTGGTAAGTAAATTGTAAAAGTAGGTCAACTCTTATCTTACATGCATGCACCTTCTGTTTGAATTTTGGCTGAGACAGCATTCAATGAAAAACTGACGTACAACATTCAATAAAAAATCCTACCCAATTTGGCCGAGATAGCGTTTAAAAGTTTTTACAAAAAAAAGAAAAATGATTACGTAGTGTTTACACGATATGTCTAACATGCATGTACCGTAGTCAAGTCCTGCATTATTATAAAAGCACATATAACCAGTCACCAAGTAATTCATAGTCTCACTCTCCAAAACCAAAAATGGCTGGAGTCCAAGCTTTTGTTTCAACAATTCTCTTTCTTTCACTCATCACATTCTCCACATTCCATCCAACGCATTCAAAACCTAATGGTTTCAGCCTCCGGTTGATCCCTAGAGACTCACCGGAATCGCCTCTATACCCCGGAAACCTCACAGTACATGAACGTATCGAAAGATTGGTCAGGTTCTCGAAAGCCAGGGCGCGCTACGTGGAATTAACTTCCGGTTCAAATTCCACCGCAGACCTCAACCAAATAGAACTTACTTTGCTTCGTGACAACTTCTTCTATATCGTGCAGATTGCGCTTGGAACCCCAAAAGTCCCCCAGCTCCTGCTTCTCGACACTGGTGGTGGCCTAATTTGGACTCAGTGCCAGCCTTGTGTTGCATGTTACCCACAACAAGGTAATCCCATTTTCGATTCAACAACATCGAGCACATACCGAAAGCTTCCGTGCGACCACCCTCTGTGTTCAGGTGCCAATCCCCTTTACCAATGTGCTAACAATGAATGCGTCTACAATATTGGTTATGGTGGTGGCGCAACAACTCGAGGTGTTGCTTCCTTTGAAACATTCACATTTCCGACTGATACAGCCGAAAACGTGATCTTCGGTTGTTCGAAGGAAAACAGAAACATTCAGTTCTCAAAGAGTGGTTACATTTCGGGGGTAATGGGGTTGAGCTTGAGTCCGGATTCACTAGTGACCCAACTCGCTGATAAAACCAAAAAAACTTTCTCATACTGTTTGCTCCCTTTTACTGATGCACTAATAAACCCTGGTTTCGTTAAGTTTGGGGATGAAATACCATTACCAGCTGGAAATGTTTACACAAGTCCGTTTGTAACACCACCTGGACAACATTACTACTACCTAAATCTTTTGGATATAAGTGTTGGGTTGAAACGCCTAGGGTTTCCACCGGGTACCTTTACAATTGGGCAAGGTGGCACCGGTGGTTTCTTCATCGATTCTGGTGCCCTAATCCCTCAACTCAATACAGATGCCAGCGGACGCAATGCCTACAGGGAGGTGATGAGGGCATTTCAACAATGGTATGACGGTTTAAAACTTACAAGGATCGGTAAAGTGCCTGAAGGGCTGGCATTGTGCTACAAATATACGCCGGATTTCAATCAATTCGCCACATTAACGTACCATTTGCAAGATGCTAATTACGTCGTTGATGGGAAATATGCTCATGTCTTTAACAAAGATGCGGGGTACTTTTGCGTAGCAATGATGCCTGGAAATGGGAAGTCTATGCTTGGAGCATGGCATCAGCAGAATATGAGGGTCACCTACAATGGCAACATCAATTCACTTCAATTTTCGGTCGAGACTTGTCCTAGTTAATCCCCATCCTTAAACTTGCTTTTTCTTTCCTTTTTGTTAGTTTATCTTTGAGATTCTTGGTGCTGGTTTTTTCTTAATAATATGCAACAAGTTTATGGAACTGAGTTTTTGTTGTTCATTCTAACGTGAAACATCCTATCCTTATGTACACACCCCAGTTGTTTGGACCATAGTTGCATAATCTTGCAGCCAAGTTGCTCATAATTTTCACCGTTTACTTCCCGGACAACTCAGTTGTCCCGGACTATTTGAGGAAAATTGATCTTTGCATACAAGAAGGGGAAAGATAAGAGGGGAGGGATCGTTTGGTATGCAAACAAAACGGGACGGAACGGAATGGGACGAGACAGGACGAGACGGAATGGAGAGGGAGCAAAGATGCCCTCAGATGGAAATAAGGAGGAAGAAGAAGGAGACAGAGAGGTTATAATTTTGTGTTCCACGGATGTAGAACAAGTTGTTCCAGGGGGTGAGGCGGAACGAAAATTCACTCAAAATTCATCCCATGGAACAGCGCGTTCCACCTATTTTAGACGCACCAGACATGGAACGGAACACCTCATTTCACTCCGTTCTGTCCCGTCCCACGTACCAAACGGTACCTAACTGCAAAAGGCAAGCCTGCATTTCACTCTAATTAATTTGAATGCCTGGTTAATATGGGCCTAAAAAATAAAGTAATGAGTCTGATTTTGCTCACCTCCTAACTCAATTTATTTAGAATCTTGCCGTGTGTATAAAAAGCTAACTATGGTTACTGTGGTTTAATTTAATTAGTTCTTGTGGAAAAGAAAATTTATTTAATAATTAAGAAAATAAACTTACCTTTTAATCTTTCTTAATATAGCATAATTGGTTGATAATTTAATTGTCCAATATTCCTTACAAATCTCCTGCATCTTACGTTCGAAAAGAAGGATCCGGCTTCTCTGCCCTCCCACTTCCCATACACTCTTATCCCCTCCTATTTTGTACAGTCACGGTTAAGCCACATAAACATTTTATATGGATTTTTTTATAGATATAATAAGATAAAAAGCAATAGTAATATAAAATGTTGACGTGGCTTAACCGTGACCGCACAAATAGAAGGGAATGAGAGTGTATGGGAAGTGGGAGGACAGAGAAGCCAGGTCCTTCAAAAACCTTGCAGTTCATATCATGACTTTAATTACATTCATCTTACACAATTTAGAACTAGACTAGCTCTAATTCCAACATTAAAGTATTGGAAAAACTCATTTAAGCAAAATAATAATAATAATAATCCACTTTGAACTTTGTTAGGGCTAGTTTGGTATTACTGTTCTTTTGAAAAAAAAAAAAAAAAAAAAAAAAAAAAAACTGTTTGTGATGTGCTTTGATAATAAATAGCTGTAAAATAAAGTTGTTAAGTGTATAGTAAATTTTTTTTTTTGTAAAAGTGCTTTTAATAAAATGAAAAAAAAAAACAATGTCTGAGTGTCACATCCCGGGCCTGCTCCACCACCGTAGCATGATATTGTCCACTTTGGGCCCCTACTACACCCTTACGATTTTGTTTCTAGGAACTCAGACGAGAACTTCCCAGTGGGTCACCCATCATGGGAGTGCTCTGACCCTCTTCTTGCTTAACTTCGAAGTTCCTACGGAACCCGAAGCTAGTGAGCTCCCAAAAGGCCTTGTGCTAGGTAGGGATGAGAATATACATTTAAGGATGACTCCCCTGGGCAATGTGGGATGTTACACTGAGTATATTGTAAATTTTTATATAAATTACTTTGAATATGTTAAATGACTAAAAATGATATATTACTTAATGGGCCAAATTCTTTTCATGATCCCTGTGGTGACACGTCACTTTCAATGTGACCCTCGTGGTAAAAAAAGCTTTTAACTAAACCCTTGTGGTGGGCCTTATTAGCAATTGAGGTCCAAATCCAAATTTCCATTAGTCTTATGTTAAATAAACTCACGTGACTATCACATGAAGGGTCAAATTCGTCATTTCAATCCAAATTACATCTTATTTAATGGATATCTAGTATAATTTAGGGTTTAACTGGAATTAGATTTTACAGAAGGAAAAAAAAGCTTGAACGCGAAGACTAAAACTAAACCTGTACAACCACATCAATGGTTAGGAGAAGAGGTGAAGGTGAAGTCATGTCTAATTTCTTAGGTATGATTTAATTTCGTTTGGAAATCATAATACTTCTAATATACCATTGTTTTTTTTAATGCCAACACGTCTTTGATCATGAGTTAGAGTCTTAATCTTACTTGAATTTTCATTCTTGTATCAATTTGTACCAGTTTGAATGCATAAATGCCTTTCTGTTTTGTCTTTAATTGGTAATGTGGTTTTATGCAGGCCCTAGTCGGCCAGTACACAACCTTTCAATTTTTTTTCTTAATCTTCTTTGAATTTTATTTCTTTAACTTTTTTACTCTCTTAAAGTTCATATGCGGAGGAAAGACCTGAAGATTGAATTTTCTGCAATGCCTTTCACCCATTGTCTTTAATTCTACAAAGCCTTTCACCCGTCTGAATACATACATAATGCATTTCACCTATTGTCTTTAACTCTTTAAGTTATTCTTGTGCATATGTGATTTTTCTACATTATATAGGTTGAGATACATGTGCTATCAAATTGGGGTGATGGTTAGTGACGGTGCAGAAGACCCACTAGTGGCTATGGCAGTGGTTGGGAGCCTGAGATGAGATACGAGAACTTATGGATTTTTTTTTATCTTACAACTTTCTTTTATTTGTAATTTTATTTTAATTCAATCGTGTTTTTGTCTTTTTATTTTCCAAAATAAATAAACTTAATTTTGACTGATCCACATGTGATAGTCACATGATTTTATTTAATGAAAGACTAATGGAACTTTAGATTTGGACCTCAATTGCTAACCGGGTTCACCATGGGAGTTTAATTAATAGTTTTTTCATCACAAAGGGTCACATTGAAAGTGGCGTGCCACCACAAGGACCACAAAAAAAAATTTGGCCTACTTAATGTGATATAATAATTGTTAAAGACAATAATGTAGAGGCAAATATTGTAATTTTGTAAAACATACGAGGGTATACTTGTCATTTGAAAAGTTCATTAAATGAGCGTTGATTATTATGCTTTAAAAAGAAAAACAAACACTTTTATAGAAGCATGATAAACACTGCTTCTACTTTTCTACTTTCATTGATAACAATTTTTTTTTAATTTTTTTTTTTTTTTTACCGAACACATTTAATGTTCCAAATTTTTGAATAAGCTATTTTTTTTTAAAGCACCACAACCCCAAACCAACCCTTACTTTCTGCTTATTTAAAATTGTATAGGTACAAATAACTAAGCAAAATTTTGGAAGTCATTAGGGTTTTTATCACAAGAAGTCTTTGAAATTGACGCAAACCATCAAGATGGTTCGGCCTGAAAATGAAAATCAATCAATGTAATCCCTGAAAATGGTTGTTGCAAATCAATGTGGAACCCACCTCAACCGCTTCCCTTCAACCCAACCTCTGATCGACACCAAGCCAACAAACACCAGTCCCCCATCACAACCTCCGATCCCAATTTTGAGACAACGAGACAACCTAAGAACGAAGAATATTTTAGACAAGCATGGATGATGTTCTCGGCTCGGTCATTGCATATGATCTCCTCTGCTCCAAGCTTGCCCATGGCTCTCTCTCTCTCCTTGCACGAATTGAGTCTTCCTCATCGTGAAAATAATAGCTTTAATTGTTTTTGTTCAACTGCTTTTACTTTTTTATTTAATCATTTTGAACTTAGTTTTAAATTATTTTAAATTAGGTTTTTATAAAGTTTTTAATAACTTATCCATGTGGCAATATTTGTGGGGTCTACATATGTGCCAAATCAACATACTAACAGAAATTTTGATGGAATTCCAACGGAAGGAACACATTGATTTCCAACACTCATATTTAAGGACTACACTAATTGATTTTCATTTTCAGGGACCATCTTGATGATATAGGTCAATTTCAGGGACTACTTGTGATAAAAACCTAAATCATTATGATTGTTTTTGTACGTAGTTATGTAATTTTATTAAGTATTGTTCTTAGGCTAATGTTTTGTATGCTCTCGTGGATCCATGTTGTAATTTAATTTTTCTTTTCTCAAAATAAAGTAAAAAATATTTGGAATCCTGAATCAAATGATTCAAATCGCATTAGAAAAAGAAAAAAAAAAGAAAAGAGAGGACCAACTATGTTTGGACGAGAGACTCTTAACATATTAAGGAAGTAGGAAGCTTTAGACTCAATTGTTAAAAATGCATTAAAAACGCCAATGTATTACTCAAACACTACAAAGTTACTAATTATATACACTAGGCATGCACTACAACGACACTAGTCAATCGAAAGGTCTCTCAAATGCATTGCATCTAACCATTTTCACGTCTCCCTTTCTAATCTTTATAGTGCATTCCCAAAAAGTTTAGTCAAGTTTCAAGAAACTTTGAAGCCCTTTATCCAAACATAGTATATATAAATGCAGCAAGCCAAACGTAGGCAATTTAGATCGGTGACGTGGAGACTAGAGCATTTGCATATGTATCCTACTACTGAATGACACGTTTAGAGATTAAGGAATCGTGGAACATAGAAGTAAGAGAAGTAGGGAAGGAGAATCGGATGAATAACTCCCCTACTTAATCTCGTTCTTGGATTTCAAAGTGTTTGATCACTAATTTTGAGGTGAGACCCACGTACAATTTGGTTCCTAGTTAGCTTATGTGTCAATAAGCATAGAATAATTAGAAATTGAAATGATTTTCTTTCTTTGCATTTCAGGTAAATAAACATGTCATTATAGTCCGCAAATGAAAATACGTAAATTGTCTACTTCAATGTGTTAGAAAAGGGCAAAGATGCTGGTAACTTCAGTTATTTTCAGGAATGTCTCTACAGGAATCATAGAGCAAAACAGACGAACCCTAAATTATATTGGGAAATGGAAATGGTTCAAATGAAG